GGATTTAGGCCAGGGTGAAAATCTCATTTTCACTTTTAAAGGCTCACCAGGCTTCCATCGGTAATGGGTTATCTGGACGGGAGGTGGGGGGGAGGAGACCCATTGTGTCTCAGGCACTCTGAGGGCAGGGTCTCCCACAGCCAGCACAGGACCAGCCACAGAGCCGGCCTCAGTCTTTCCATCTGTGAGATGGGATTCTGACTCAAAGAGCTCATAGTGTCCTCCCAGCCCCTACACTGGGTCTAGGACATAAATCATTGGCTAGAAATGCCATGGTGTAGCGGTGGCATGAATAAATCCCTCTCTCGACCTCAATGTCCCCAAGTACACAACTGAGCAGGCTGAACTATCTCGAATGTTATGAGGAGAATGAGAGCCAATCAGCGGGCAGCGTCACAGGTTCCAAGCGCCTGATTGGCTCCACCTAAGAGGCCCACTCCTGAGCTGTTAAGCCCCCAGTGCTGGTTGGCTTATCTGATTATGCCCTGCTGCAAGTGCCGCGCCTCTCCTCCACCTCCGCAGCAAACCACCCCAGCTCCAGAAGCTCTCTCAATCTTCAACTGTGGGCGGCGGAGAGCTGGGGCTGCCTGTTTTTCTCTTGTCCCCTCTCCATGTTCCCTCACCCTCCAGCCCCTCCAATATCTTGGGCTCAGTGTGACTTATTTGACCCTACCTGTCACAAGGGCAGTAAGGAGCTCTGGTGGTGTAATGGTTAAGGGATTTGGCTGCTAACCAAGAAGTCGGTGGTTTGAACCCACCAGCTGCTCCACAGAACATGGAGCGGTTGAGGCAGTCTGCTTCCATAAAGATTTATGGCCTTGGAAACCCAAAAGGGGGTCAGTATTAGTCAGAATTGACTTGATGGCAGTGAAATTGTTTTTTGGGTTTTGTTTTGTTTTGTTTTGGGGGCGTGTCTGTTGTCACAGGGATCCAGGCACCAGCAGTAGTAGCAGGAGCCCCTCTGGGGGCTTGTCCAGTACTGAGCAACTCTGGGCTGGAAGGCATAGCAGGGTCTGATGCAGGACCAGCTACATGCAGGGCTCAGTACAAAATGAAGGTGATGGACCACTGGTCAGAAATTACTAGAATGTCAGGATGGAACTAGAAAGGCATTCAACCCCTCATGGGGTCCTTTGGATCGTGGACCCTGTTTTCTGTATGGTGCACTGTGAAGGTAGCCCCAGGCGGATCCTCCCAGCCAGCTCCGCAGAGAGTCCTGGGGACGCAGCCTGGTCTGGTCAGTTCCATCAGCTTCTAAGAGATCATTCAGGACAATCAAGTCCCCCTGGTCTCAGCCAGAGACCGCACCCACCCCTCCTGCATGGGAGGGCACCTGGGCAATGACCTTGGGATGCTCTGGCCCAGCCCCCTCCTCTCATAGACAAGGTCCTCCAGCAAGCAGGCACTCCAGCCCAGCAGGTAAGGACCAGGGACACAGGAGTGACGACACTTCCTCCTGGGAACAGTAGCTTCCGCAGGAGCTGCCTTCCCCAACTCCATCCCTGCCTCCCTGCCAGGTGATAGCCAGCCCTCTCCAAACCTTGACAGCTTCAGATGGAGGTAAGAGGTACCTAGTCAACGTTTGATCATTGATGTGAATGTGCAGGAACCCTCATCCCCATTTTGCAGATGGGGCAGGTGCAGAGAGGCCATTTGGGGCAGTAGGGACTGAGTTGGGGCAATAGTCAGTTTTCCAGGTTCCTGGCCACAGTTCTTTGCCCTCCCCTGGCTGCCTGCATCCTCCCGCCTGGGCCAGGTTGCATGAGGCAGCTAGGGCCTGGGCCAGTGTCTCAGGGAGGGCTGCTGGCAGAGGGAACCCAGTCCACCCCCAGGGGCCAGAAGGGTCAGGACTTTGGAGCTGGGGGTGGAGTCTAGGGGGCAAATATTATGGGCAGAGCCCCTGGTATTGGTCAATTCCTCTGATGCCATGGGCTCGGGCAGGGGCAACTGGGCCAGGACACTGCTCTCTCTTCTGCTTCTCCCCCTTCTTCCCAAGACAACCTGATCCCCTCCTTGCTCCTGAAGGAGATCCCCTTTAAGATCAAGACCACCACTCATCTGTCAGTCTGTTGTCCTGTGATGGCTTGCATGTGACACTGGAAGCTATGCCACCAGTATTTCAAATACCAACAGGGTCACCATGGTAAGAGATTTCAACAGAGCTTCTAGACTAAGACAGACTGGCAAGAACGACCCAGTGGTCTACTTCCAAAAATTAGCCGATGAAAACACTATGGATCCTAACAGAATAATGTTCAATGCAGTGCTGGAGATGAGCTCGCTAGGTAGGAAAAACCAAAACCAAACCCACTGCCGTTGAGTCGATTCTGACTCATGGTGACTCTAGAGGGCCTAGGGGAAGTGCCCCATAGGGCTTCCAAGGCTGTAATCTTTACAGAAACAGACTGCCAAATCTTTGTCCCACAGAGCAGCTGGTGGGTTCAAACTGCCAACCTTTTTTTGGTTAGCAGCCCCAATGCTTTAACCACAGCGCCACCTGAGCTCCTCCTAGGTTGGAGGGCATTCAGAATTCACAGTGGCTGCAACAGTGGACTCGGGCAGAGCAGCAGTGGTGAAGGTGGCACAGGGCCGGACAATGTTTCGTTCTTCTGTACATGGGGTTGCCATGAGTGGGAGCTGAGAAGACAGCCACTAAGCCGCTGTGCACCTCAGCTTCCTCGTGGGTGTCCTGGGAGTGATGATACTCGCAAGGAAATGACACGTGGGCAGCATCTCATGCAGGGCTAGCCCACAGTAGGCCCCCAACAGATGGGCAATCCTTCTAGGTCTTCTTCTGTGAGGTTCAATGCAGGTCAACTCAAAGCACATATTGAGTGTCTGCTGTGTATAAGTCCCTGTGCCAAGGCAATACAGGGGACCTCAAGGGACTAGATGTGGAGGGCAGCACCATAGGCTCAGAGTCACAGGAGAGATCAGATAAAACCTGCGGGACTCTGGGGAGCGAGAGACCCTTTCGGGGTAGACCAGAAAGGCTTCCTGGAGGAAAGGGCACTTGAGATGGGTCTGACAGTGTTAGACACATTGACATGGGAAAGAAAAGCATTCTAGGCAGAGGGAACAGCTAGAGAAAAAGGCCTTGAGGTGGAAATGCCCAGGGAGTATTTGGTGAACAGGAGGGGTGGAAGCAAACTGGTAAAGCAAAGTAACGGGTGACGAAGCTAGAAAGAAAGGTTGGGGGAAGACCAAAAAGGGCCTTGAATGCCACACAACAGAGTTGGGAAGTTGTCTTGTGAGTGACAGGTGCCATGGAGGGTTTATGAATAAGGGGCTGGTGCTTCCTGGTTCATCTCTCCTTCCGAGGCTGACTTCTACATCCAGGTGAAATGGCAGCCCACCTCTGTGTCCACCCAAAGGGCCTCAGCTGGACTCCAGACCACACAATGGTGCTCTCTACCGAGCCCTCTGCTCCTTGCTTTCAAGGCCTTCTCGGTTACCTCCACCCCTTCCTACATTTCTCCAACACAGACTGGCTTCCCCCTCCCTGCCCTGACTCAGGCCGGCCGCCACCTCCCACTTAGAGGACACCTCCACCGTCACCCCACCCTGAGGCAGGTCCTCTTCACTCTGCCTTCAGAGCCCTCGCTGCCCTCCTCTCTGCAAGGGCTGGACATCACCAATTCTCCCACCCCCAAGGGCCCGATTGGAGCCTGGCACACAGGAAGTGCCCTCCCAGCTGGCCCCCTCGGGCCCAGGGCCCTCACCCCCCGCCCAGCACAGGGCACTCACACGGTGGGGATGTACTCTCCCGGGAAGGCATTGGTGGTGTAGCTGATCAGAAGGCAGGTCTTACCCACTGCTCTGAAAGACAAGAAGCACAGAGGACAACCGTCAGGACTTGGAGTCAGGACGTGGGGAGGTTTCTGAGTGCCCACTTGGTCCCCCATCCCATCCCTCAAGGAAGACCTCAGCATCTCCCCAGGCCCAATCCTGGGGGTAGGGAACAAGTCACTGTCCAGCCTGGGCCTCAGTCTCCACATCTGAAACTCCCCACACTGTGTGCTCAAACCCAGAGCCCACAGGAAGCATCTGGGGTGCTCAGTCCAGACTGAGGTCCTACCCAGAGATTCTGACCCAGAGGTGTGGGCCAGGCCAAGCATCTTCATTTTTAACCAGATTTCCCAGGTGGTGTTGATGTGGGATGAGGGCTGAGGGCAGGAGATGCCCAGGAGACCTGCCCTATCATCATGTTCCTGGGGCCGGATCCCAGCTCCACCACCTACCAGTGTCATGGCCTGAGGCAAGTCACTTAGCCTGATGCCTCAGTTTCCCCATCTAGAAAATAATACAAGTCTGCCCTCACAGGAGTACGCTGCAAATTAAATTAGATGATGCATATAAAAGAAGTTACCACACTATGTAGTAGTCCTCCTCTGGTAACACTTGGCATGGCCATGAGTTGGAATTGACTCCAAGGCAACGGGGCTGGTTTTCTGGTACCTGGCATTCCCATCCCCCTTCTCTTCCCACCTGCCCATGATGCATGGTTAGGAGCACAGTGTTGTGGAATTAGAGACCTCGATCAAATCCTACCAGGTCTAGGGCAAGTTACTTAACTTCTCTGAGCTTCAGTTTTCCCACCCATAAAATGCACCTGATATTAGGGTTGGTAGGAGGTTCAATAGAGGAGGCGTGCCAAGCTCAATGCCTGGCACACAGCAAGGCATAAACAAGCAGTGATGGCCATGATTCATGTTGCCCACACCCTCGGGCTGCTGGGGTGGCAGAGGGACCCAGGCAACGCTGCAGGAAGCCCGAGAGGCCAAAGGGGCAGCCCTGGGCCTGCCCCACTCCATGACGTCACTTCCTGTTCCAAAGGGCTGAGTCCCTCTCTCCCCACCACCGCCTTCCTGGGCCCTGCCACCAAGGTAACTCTGAATGATTGGGACGTTGCCCTTGACTTCCGCCGTCCCGGGCTCAGATCAAATACAAAGCAGAAGTGCTCGGGGCGGGCAGTGGGCAGATGACGGCCGTGCCTCAGAATCAGCTGAGGATGGTCTGGTAACTGCCCACCCCCACCAGGGCCCGTCCAGCTGAGTCGGCACCAGCACGACCCGGGCCAGGAAGGAGCTTTGTCTTCAAGGCCTCAAGTTGACCTGACCCTGCTAGAACATGCCAGATGGCCTTATGGAAAAGCCCGAAGAAGGCACGAGAGACGGATGTATTAGATTTACAGATGAGAAAACTAAGACCCAGAGAGAGGACATGACAGCCCGAGGTCATTAAGGGTTGCCAGTTGTGCGGGACCCTCAGCCGGGCCCCACCACCCCCCTCCCCCCACAATCACCCTCCATCCCCTCTTCCCTTATTCTGTCTCTCAGGGTACAACGTCCCCCTTCCATACCTACTCCTCGCCCACATATCCCACACATCCTCCCCGACCAGGGAGGTTGAGAGGACGGCTGCCAGCCATGTCAAGCAGGGGAGGGAGGAGGAGGTGAGGCAGGAAGGGTTAGGAGGCCAACTTTGGTAAGAAGACATTAAGGACAGGGCAGGCACTCACAATATCTCAAGAAATCCCTCTTCAGCCTTAGTGATGGGGTCTATCACCTCTTCCCAGCAACTAAGCTGAGATTCAGAGAGGTGTTGTGACTGGCCCAAAGCCACACAGCAGGACCAAACCAGTGATTAGAGCCCACATTTTTGGTTTCCCAACTCCTCTTGCACCCACAAAGTTGAAGGCTGAGGCTCACTTCCATGAGAGACCTCCCACCAGCACTTGGGGTGCAGGCCAAGAGTCCCAGGTTCCCCGCCCCCCACCATGTCCTGTAGCCTCCCCCCAGGCGGCTGCTGGGATAAGATGGGCCAGAGAGTGAAGCTGTCTGCAGCCCACCCCAGGATGCTCCCTCTGGGCCCTGGAAGAAAGAAGTAGCTCCTCCCAGCTGCCTTCCAGGGACTCCTACACCCATGGGCAAGGGGCTTCCCCAGGGACATGGGGCAGGAGGGTCTCAGGGCATCCCTAAAGGGCCAGTGAGGAAGTTCTGCCAGGTACCTACCCGTCTCCCACCACCACACACTTGATGGCCTGCATGGCGTCAGGAGCCTGGGGGGCAGTGGCGGTGACAGCTCGGGGCACGGAGTGTCTCTGCAGGCACCAGGGGTGTGGAGAGGCTGCGAAGCGCCAACTGGGGACAGCAGCCGAGGGACAGGAGCTAGAGGAAGCGGAAGGGGAACTTACCCAATCTGCCCCCCACGGCCGTTTGCAGAAGGCGGAGCATGCGGTCTGACAAAACAGCTCGGGCCTCTTAGGTACTAGGCCGGCCCCAGGTGCCCCCACAGGCACCCCAGCCCTGGGCGCCGTTGGGGACACAGGACTCTCAGCTGGGAGACAGGCTTCCTAACATGTGGCAGGACCAGAGATTGCTCTACAAGAACTTGAGGCTTCCAAGAAGTCAGTCCACCTCAATTCTAAGCAATAAGCATTTATTGATCTGTAGTGATACGCCTCAGAAACCCAAGGATGGGTCACTATGAGTTGGGTGTGACTCGACAGCGATGAGTTTGGTTTTTGGTTTTGCTGGGCACTGGGCACTGGGCATTGTACTGAGTGATTCCAGAATCCAGGAGACACAGCTGGTCCCTGGAGTTCACACTTTCCATAGAGGGGAAGTTAAGAGCTCCTCAGAGGTGTTTGTAAAGCAAGTCAGGAAGTGATGGGGCCACAGGGGGGCCACAGGGAGGGGACCTCAGAGACACAGCAAGGGAGAGCTGGAGACCTGCAAGTGGCGTTGAAGCCAGTGTTGGGGAACAGACACTCTGGGTTGGGGGCGGGTTGTATGAGCAGAAGCACAGAGCTCACCCCACCAAGCAGAGGCCTGTGTGGAAAGCCTTGAGTGTGGAAGGATGGCACGTATGAGGTGGGAGGGATGAGACAGGAAGGGGAGGTGGGGCCAGCTGCAGGAGGGCCTTCATGGAGGAGGGAAAACAGAGTGGCAACGCTGGCCCTGGCCCTGGCCCTGGAGGCTGCAGTGACTGCTCTCAACCTCACAGCCAGACACCAGGGAGCCAGGCTCCATGGCCCCATTTTACAGATGCAGAAACTGAAGTTTCCAAAAGTCAGGTGACTCGCCAGAACCACCCAGCCTGAACTCAAAGCCAAGGCCAGGTGAAACCTAGCTCTTCTGGCGCAGCTGCTATTTGTGGGACAGGGCCTGAGTCCCGCAGCCTGGGGACGGTCTCTGGGGAGCCCAGAGCAACACTGGATCTTCCCAATCAGCCCCAGGTTCACCTGGCCTTCACTCTTTATGCCATCTCCCCACACATACCCAGTACTTCCCCAGCTCCAAGAGGAAAGGACAGGAGAGGAGGTGAGCAGAGCCACTGGTCCCCTGCCCTGAACTGGTCCCTCAGGACAACCTGAGAAAGCTGCTGGCCAGGTACCCATCCCACTCCCCAAGCTGGGGAAGGGTAGAGTTGGGATCCCCACAGCCCTCTTCTTCTGCACAGGCACCTGGAGACTCACTTGCACCTCCTGGAGGAGGGGCGGTGGCAAAGAGGCCAAATCTGCCTGCAGGCTGAACCTTTCCAGGGCTGTCCACATGAGCTACAGGGTTTGCAAAAATGACTTTTACAAGAAGGGAAATACAACTTCCCCAAGGGCCAGCTCCAATACTTGGCAAGTTGATTATTGAACAAACCAGCAAACTTTGATACCTCTCCTTCTGTGCTTTGCACAGACTAGAGTGAGACAGGGGACAGCATTTGGGGCACCCCAGTGTCCCCTCACCCCACCCTGGTGATTCACTCTCACATAGCATCTCAGGACTTTCATTGGGCTTCTCCCCTAGAGCCACACTCTTTTTTTTTTTTTTTTCGGTTATTGTATTGGCCTGTGGCATGGTGTCTGCTGTTTCCCCATGTCTCAGTTCTCTAGTGCTATGACAGAAACAAAGAGAAATGCATTTTCTGACTGTTTAGGAGGCTTGAAGTCCAATTTTTGGGTACCGACTCTAGGGGAAGGCTTTTTCTCTGTGTTGGCCCTGGGGAAAAGTCCTTGTGTCCTCTCAACATCTGTGGGCCACAGATGACTCTACTGGCAAATTCTACTAAACATTCAAAGGACAGCTGACCCCAACTGTACTCCAACTATTCCAGAATATAGAAAAGGAGGGAATGCTCCCGGATTCATTTTATGAAGTGAGCATAGCCCCGATACCAAAGCCAGGCAAAGACACCACTAAAAAAGAAAATTATAGACCAGAATCCCTCACGAACATAGATGCAAAATTCCTCAGCAACATTCTAGACAATAGAATCCAACACCAAATCAAAAAAGAATGCATCGTGACCAAGTGGGATTCATACCAGGAATGTAAGGGGGGTTCAACACTACACAGTCTACCTCATGCATCACATAAATAAAACAAAGAAAAAGAACCAACCACCATACGAATCGATGCAGAAAAGGCATTTGACAAAATCCAACATCCATGCCTGATTGGAAAAAAAAAAAGCTGAGCAAAATTGGAATCAAAGGGAAATTCCTCAACATAATTAAGGGCATATATACAAAACGAATGGCCAACATTATTCTCAATGGTGAGAGATTGAAAACATCCCCCCTTGCAAACAGAAACTAGACAAGGATACTATTTATCTAAGGCATTTGACTGTTAACCAGAAAGCTGATGGTTCAAACCAATCAGCCATTCCTCAGAAGGAAGATTGGGCAATCTACTTCCATGGTGATACTGCCTTGGAAACCCGAGGAGGGGTCGCTATGAGTTGGATCTGACTCCACAGCAGTAAGTTTTGTTTTGTTTTGTTTTTGTTATTGTATTGGAAGTCCTAGCCAGAGCAATAAGACAAGAAAGGGGAATAAAAGGTATGCAAATTGGCAAAGGAGAAGTAAAACTATCTCTATTTGCAGATGTTATGATCTTATACACAGAAAATCCCAAAGACTCAGTAAAAAAATTACTAGAACTAATGAACAGTTACAGCAAAGTGGCAGGGTATAAGATCAACACACAAAAATCAGTCAGATTCCTTTTCACTGATGAAGAGAACTCTAAAATGGAAATCAGGAAAGTAATATCATTTATCATTTAATATCATTTAACCACTCAGAAGATAAAGTACTTCCACCCAGAAGCACAAAAGACCTATACAAAGAAAACTACAAAACACTTTTACAAGAGACCAAAAGAGATCTACATAAATGGAAGACTATACCATGCTCATGTATATACCTGTTGTTATTGTTAGGTGCCATCGAGTTGGCTCTGACTCTGAGCGACCCTGTGTACAACAGAACAAAACACTGTCCAGTCCTGCGTCATCCTCCTGGTCCTTGCTATGTGTGAGCCCATCATTGCAGCCGCTGTGTCAATCCATCTCATTGAAAGTCTTCCCCTTGTTCACTGACCCTCCACTTTACCAAACATGATATCCTGCTCCAGGGAATGGTCCTTTCTGAAACATGACCAAAGTAGGTGAGACAAAGTCTGGCCATTCTTACTTCCAAGGAGCATTCTGGCTGCACTTCTTCCAGGACAGATTTGTTCATTCTTCTAGCAATCCATGGTAGTTCAGTATTATTCTTCACCAACACCACAATTCAAAGGCATCAACTCTTCTTCAGTGTTCCTTATTCATTGTCCAGCTTTCACAGGTATATGAGGTGGTTGAAAATACCATGGTTTGGGTCAGGTGCACCTTAGTCTTCAAAGGGACATCTTTGCTTCTTAACACTAGAAAAAGGTCTTTCGCAGCAGATTCTCCCACTGCAATATGACATCTGATTTCCTGACTGCTGCTTCCATGAGTGTTGACTGTGGATTCAAGTAAAATGAAATCCCTGACAACTTCAGTCTTTTCTGTTTATCATGATGTTGCTTAGAGGTCCAGTTGGGAGGATTTTTGTTTTCATGATGATGTGTAATCCATACTGCAGACTGTAGTCTTTAATCTTCATCAGTAAGTGCTTCAAGCCATCTTCACTTTCAGCAAGCCGGTTGTGCCATCTGCATATTACAGGCTGGTAATGAGTCTTCCTCCAATCCTGATGCCACTTTCTTCATTTAGTCCAGCTTGTTGCATGGTTTGCTCTGCATATAGATTGAGTGAGTGTGGTGAAAGGACAGAACCCTGACACACACCTTTCCTGATTTAAAACCACGTAGTATCCCCTTGTTCTGTTTGAATGACAGCCTCCCAGTCTATGTACAGGTCCCTCATGAGCACAATCAAGTTTTCTGGAATTCCCATTCTTTGCAATGTTATCCATAATTTGTTATGATCCACATAGTTGAATGCCTTATACATAGACAATAAAACACAGGTAGACATCTTTCTGGTATTCTTTGCCTTCAGCTGAGATCCATCTGACATCAGCAGTGATATTTCCCATTCCACATCCTCTTCTGAATCCAGCTTGCATTTCTGGAAGTTCCCTGTCAATGTTCCACTGCAATCATTTTGGAATTATCTCCAGCAAGATTTTACTTGCGTGTCATCTTAATGATACCGTTCACTAATTTCCACATTCTGTTGGATCACTTTTCTTTGTAATGGGCACAGATATCAATGTCTTCTAATTATTTGGCCAAGTAGCTGTCTTCCAAATTTCTTGGCATAAATGAGTAAGCACCTCCAGCACTGCATCCATTTGTTGAAACATCTCAATGGGTATTCCATCAGTT